GCATCGTTCAGAACCGATCCATACTTCGATATCTCGTTCCCTGATTGCCAAATCGATGTTGTTGCCGTTGATGGTCAAGTAGTCGTTCTTGAAATGCTTCACTGACAACTGACCGACCTCATGAGGAAAAACTTCAAACTCAGGATCAGGAAATATATTGAAAACCTTGAATTTGGGATTCGCCGACATATTCCTGGACGAGTTGACGCCGTCCATGATGATGCCGTATTCCAAGTTCAAAGGCACGTTTGCTCGAGGATAGTGACGGTTGTTCGGGTTGATGGACACACGTGGGGTAACGCATCTGGCATGGCCATCGCTCAGAACAGAACATGGAGATACTGACCACGACTCGCGACCGTCATACACCACATACATGCGCATCACCTGAATTATGCCGAAACCAGCGCCAGTGACGTCGACCGTGATTCCACCTGATATTATACCCCTGTCAGGAACAACAGCTGTGATGACCGGGTCATTTTCGTATGTGAACTGCGAATCAGCGAAAGTTCTCGTCGCGTTATCGAACGACATTTCTATACCACCAGAGCGACGGGACACAGAGCTAGCACCGGTGAGACATAACGCGCGGTCGGCGTGTTTTCTAAAACAAGCAACGTAGCGTGAAGAACCTTTTTAAGCCGATACGTACTGGACAACTTTACAAGGAACCCCGCCAACAGAAGCAGTGACCTCATAGCCAGCGTCCAGGCTTCGGCCACGAATTGTCAGCAGAGTGCCGCCTGACTGCGGACCAGAATTAGGAGAAAAACCAGTAATTACCGGGTCCTAGAAAACCAGTTCTTGTTGCATACATTTATACTGTCGCAGAAGTATAGACTCACCACGTACTGGAAACTCTGGTCAGAAATGGCCACGAATTCCATGGCATCTTTGATCCTTACCACTACGGGCCCGCTCTGTGTCTTATGGTGATTCGCAGGACCCGTAATACAGACAATGCGAGTACTGACGTCATACAGTTCACGCAACGGCTTGCACGCGACGTTATTTGTTCGAACCGCTTGTTTAATGTCATTGAAAGTTCGCCCCAAATTGATTCCTTCGATAGTCAGCCTGGTGCCGCCTTCGACCGGCCCAGAGATGGGATAAAACTAGCAACAAAGAAGTACAGTAAATATTATACAGGAAGGTACAAACCAACAAGAATTACTTTTGTAATTCTGGGATTGGAACAGACGCCATTGACATCAAGCCATTCTTGACCATGGCTGGCGCATTTAGAGCTGACGGTGCACGTCTCCTGGGGGACGCACCAACCACATCCATAGTGATGTGGCAGATGGAGACACAACCCGCAACTTTTGGCCATACGCTCACATTTGTACATGATGACTAAAACAGAACGTGACAAACACCTATCTGCAGGGAAGGAGGCAACAGATGCACCACGAATATTTTCGATGTTGTCCAAGACCTTTCCGGAAGCCCAGGTGACCGCAAACTTCGCCGTTACGTTAGGCAGGGAATCGTAGTAAGAAAACTCCATCCGATCACATTCAATGTAGTTATTGTAGCGACGGGCAGGTCTTCGATGAGTGCCAGTCCCGAATTGGAACTCGCACATGAATTCAGTTTGAAATTCCTACAGAAAATAAAGATTTAGCAGCTGAAAAGTCAGTAAATAACTGGACAGTCAACAAAGTGGTTACCAGCAAGTTCATCGCCTGTACTTTGATGGAGTAGCTGCTACCAGAAGGAATGTATAACGCTGGGTCTTGGTTGGTGGTGATGTACGGACAGAACGTGGGCCCCTTTCGACCAGTGGAATGGCCGATGCGATTCATGCCACTAATCACGTTTTGATTTCGACAGTACTCCTCGGTGTTAGACGTACACAGCGCAGATTCGGCACACCAATCACACGCGAATTCAGCACTTACGCACTGATGACAGTTGGAGTACGTCGAACAGTCGTAGAAGGTAAAGTTGGTGGCAGCGAAATCAGGACCAGTGTCCACCTGAATGCTCAACCGGGCGCTCAAAATGTCTAAAACAATAGCGTGGAAGTAGCTGAACAAATACTAAGGTAGCACAAGCTTCGAATCCTAAACAGTTTTACTGGTCTTTCAACATTTTTATGTAAATAAACGAGCACTACATAGTAGGAAAGAAGCTGAAAACAACTGTTTACAGAATAAAAATGTTGTAAAAATTAACTTTATAAATATGACAGCTCTAACTGATCACATCAAACAACATAGGTCCATAATCTAACATAACAAAAACTAAGTTTCATAAATCCTACTCGCGCTCGCCCGGAAAGCATAAAGGAGACTGA